TTAATACAACAGATTATTGTTATACTTTTTCTTAAAATAATTTTCTTGTATAAATGCAACTTCTATTCACAGTTCTATAGTAAGAGATCTGTAATATGGATCTGTGGAGAAAGGTATTTTATGTCAGACTTAGTAAATCTCAAGGATTTTGCCGCATCTTTTAGAAATCATCTTGCATTTGCTCAGACCAGATATCTTAATGTAATTAGTTATTAGTCGTTATAGAGATGTCAGATCTGTTCAATGCCAATGCACATTTCAAATTTCAGTCTACTTCAAACTATGCAATCCAATTACGATGTCTATTTACGATTTACACGTACTCCACACATGCCGTGAGACGCTTGTAAGCTGTCAGTGGTCCTGACAGAGATGGCATCCCATTGCATAATTAGCATATCTAAAAATGTTCCAAGTAAACTTTTTTATTGCTAGGATTGCTGCTGTGCCTCATGTTCATTCCTCCACAAGACCACTCTCCATGACATTATACAGCAAAGGATGTTGCAGATTGTTGTCTGATAGAAACAATGCAACATTTATGTATCTAAGGTATCTTTCAGAAAGGATAGAAGTGGACTTGAAAATATATTACACACTACCTTTCTATTTGGATATAAATTTAATTTGGATTAAATTCAGTTGGAGAGTCTTTTGTATTATTGTGAATTTGACACTTTTCAAATAAAATAAAACACTTTCAGGAATGTGTTTCTTAGTTGGAAATAGAACATTATTAGCTTCTCAAGTTTTTTTTTTATTATATATATATAATCAGTTGATGTTTCTGTGTGGAGTTTGCATGTTCTCCCTGCGTTCACGTGGGTTTCCACTGGGTGATCGGGTTCCCCCCACATTCCAATGACATGCTGTACAGGTGAATTGGGTAGGCTAAATTGTCCGTAGTGTATGAGTGTGTGTTTGAATGTGTGTGTGGATGTTTCCAAGAGGTAGGTTGTGGCTGGAAGGGCATCCGCTGTGTAAAAACTTGCTGTATAAGTTGGCGGTTCATTTCGCTGTGGTGACCCCGGATTAATAAAGTGACTAAGCCAACAAGAAAATGAATGTTTATATATATATATATATATATATATATATATATATATATATATATATATATATATATATATATATATATATATATATATATATATATATATATATATAACTATATATATAACTATATATATTTATTTATTTTTATTTATTTATTTATTTTTTCCACAATATGTACATGTTCCTTTGCATTATAGTCGGCTATACATTTAAACCACTGGATGCATATTTAATTTTATATCTATTGCATTTTACATCAATCTAGATTTGAGCAAATTCCAGATTATCTAGACGTGTGGTAGATGTAAAAACAAATATATGTAGGCATCACGGTGGCGCAATGAGTTAACAAGTCCTTTTATGTCCCTTAACAAGTGGGAGGCACATATGCAATCTGTTGTAACTCCTACAGCGTTCACCTGATTTGGATGTTAATACCCTCAAGTTAAAGCTGACAGTCTGCAGTTAAAGCACACCTTGTTTGTTTAATTTCAAATCCATTGTGTTGGTGTATAGATCCAAAAAAAATGTCAGAATTGTGTCAATATCCCAATATGTATGGACCTAACTGTATGGGTGGCATGTGCATAGCTAAGAGTAATATTTATATGGTGACACTAATGATAATCATTTCTAAATTCTCAATCCACAAAATAGTAGTTCACTGAGGACAAAGTTATAGTTAGTAGTGTGTGTGTGTGTGTGTTCCCTATACTAAATTGTTATATTGTTGGAATGTATGTACATTATACAGTGGTGGAAAGAGTACTAAAAAAATCATAATCAAGGTAAAGAATCATTACTTGCCAAAAAAACATATTGCAAGTGGAGTAAAAGTGCCTGTTCTAAATGCTACTCAAAATATGAGCAAAAGTAGCCCTTTAAAACTTTAAAACAGTGAGTAGAGAATATTACACTTTATAATATTACACTTTGAAAATTACTCCACATTATACCCTGCCAATTAAAAATGTAGTGCCATTCCTAAGTTCAATGATCATGATCTAGACGCTTAAAATGTGAGATTAATTTAGTGTGAGAACTCATTAAATTAACGGATTCACCTATAATAAGCTGACAAAAAGCAGGTTGACGCATTTAAATGTGGAGCAAATCTGTGTGACCTAAGGTGAAAAAAGCTATAACTATACATTTACACTTAGGTTATCTAGGTTATAAAAGAACTCTAATAGGCTACAAGTGTCCTACAATTGGTGCTGCAAACCAAGTTTGTGCTGCACTGAATTTGACAATTGAAAACATAACATTCTTAAGTAGATGTAGTTATTGTTTAGGGCTGTTTTGTTATTTCAGTCATCATAAAGTAAGCATTCTTTGTCTTCTCATCAGTGACATGTCTTCTAAACAGTTGATCATTGCGTGTAAGAATTTAGATTCTCCTTGGACTCTTTAAATGCTTACAAACTACATATTTGCTGCGTCTATGCCTTGAGGTCAGTCTGTCTGATATGATTTGTCTATGCATTGGATGTGAATCACAGTGTTCACTATTTTACTTGGCCAATCAGTGTAGACAAAAGATAAATATATGAATAGAATAGTGACTAGAGATTCATTGTAAAAATCACAGCAAAAAAAAATTTCTTACTTTTACTCTTTTACTCTTTTTTGCCTTGTTTTTAGTCCAAATATGTTAAAAATCTTAAATTAAGAAGCATTTTTAGACAAGCAAAAAATCTAGCAGTTTTTAAAAATGTAATGTCAAAATTAAGTGAGTTTTTCCATAAAACAAGCAAGATGTTTTGCAAAATAAGCTTAATAATCTTGTTTTTACTTTGAAATATTCAGTTTTATCATTTATATGCATTTTTTGCAGTGAAGGAAAATATAGTAAAAGTACCAATACAACAATAAAAGATGCAAAAATTTTACAGTACACATTCTTAAAAGGCACTTATGGTGAAAAATATTTTTTTTTTCAAGCTGTTTGGACAGAAATATGTGTAGATATAGTGTATAGGTGGTCATATTGGGGTGATATAAACATACAGAGTTCTTTTTTTTTTTTTTTTGTCAATTTAACAGCATAAAAACGGTGGACCAATTGTCCCGATAGTCACGTGTATAATCATATCAACAAGAGAAGACGAGCACAAAGCAGCCTGGAATAAAAGCTCTGTTTAGTTTGCTAGGATCATCAATCATAATCAAATGGGATCAAGAAGAGTGTTTCACAAGTTTAAAATGTTTTAAAACAGTGCATGTATGTAATGAATTACAGCGACATACTTCAGCTTTACTTCATTTGCACAGCTGCGTGTCAGAACAATTATGAAAGAAGACGCTTCAATCCTGGGTTGTGGATGTTAAATCAGATTTATTTTGTACATTAGCATAACAGATAACCATACAGTCGAGATTAAACTGAATCCTGTCACATTTGCATGCAAAAAAGAGCAAAACTAAACACGCACGCTGTCTGTATGTTTGTGTGTATCGTGTCCATGCTGGGTATGTCTGTGTGTGTCTGTGTGTGTGCGCGTAAACTTTGTAACGACATTGTGTGTGAATCATCGTTGTAACTGAACACAGCAAATGCATCAAATACTCATTGGTAAATTCTTATTGTAGTATTTCTCACAAATGCAATGTGAGATCTGCTTCCTTTATGTCTGTTTGTTGTCCAACCCAGGTTAGGGAGGAGATTAAGGCATGCAGAAAGGCACGTAGAAACACTGGGTGGGGAGGACTAGCCTTAAAGGCGCAGTAAAGTAAAACTGCCACCCAGTGCAAAAAAAAAAAAAAAAAAAAAAAAAAAAACAGAATCTTATAAAAGGTGTAATAAAAAAATCTGATGGGTGTTTAGAGCTGAAACTTTATAGACACAGTCTGAAGACACAAAAGATTCATAATAAATCTGAAAAAAAGGGGTAACCTAGGTGCCCTTTAAAACTACTTAGTAAGGTAAAATTCCTAACAAAACACTCAGTTACAGCGATCTGAGTATTTGTTTACTTTACACCCATAGATATATACATTAGATGTCGCCTGGCCTATTGTTGTCTATTGGCCAATAGCGCCGCCATCTTGCTACAGGGTAGCGCTCCTTTGAAATGAATGCGGGACCAAGGTACAGTGGAGGACTGTGGCCATCCAAAGCCAGAGATATACACATATACACATATATTTATGATCGGGAGTTTTCCTGGATGTTAGTATGTATTTTTTTTTCTAATTATGAAAATTATAATTTTACATCACTTTTCTACATTAATGGATCAGTGACTGCACGGGCATTCCTGACAAAAAAGCTTGTGTTTGTGTGTACAGAAATGTACTATTCACCCTCCCTGTTAAATTTGATTTAATCATGTCCTGAAACACAGCTCCTCTCCTGCTTTCACTTCTCATACTGACGGACGGAGCGATTCGTTTGTGAATGAATCCCCCGAACGATTCTTTCACTAACGTTAGTCGACAATAATACAAGTTTCTGGCAGCGCAGCATCTCATTTTTATATTTCTTTCACTTTGTTTGCTGATTTTATTCAACAAAACTAGCATGAGCCGAGTGTTTAGTGCGAGTTGGAGCTGCTTTGTCGTATGGGTAATGCAGTAAGTGACTGTTATCATCAATAACGTTACCTGATTAGCACAAAAGTTCAGAACATACAAAACAGAAAAAAACTTAATATTACCTATGAAATGTTCTGCCTTTGGGCTTATCTATGCTTTACACCACTGAAAGTGTTATATTGCATGCAACCCTAGCCAGTGTTTCATCTTTCAGTCAAACTAAAGTTTTGCTCTTGTTAATTTGATGAAAGTAACTTCAATAAAACTTATTTGGGCTCCAGCTGCTTTAAATCCCACAGAGAAGTCAAGAAGTACAGAGCAATTGCTGAACGTTCACACCTTTCTATTGCTTTCTCCAATTATCTCACTATCTATCTTCTCATTCCTCTGTCCTTTGCTCTCCACAGTGGGACGCCATCACAGAGATGGATGAGCTTAACCGGCCCATCCACACCTTCCAGGTGTGCCACGTAATGGAACCAAACCAGAACAACTGGCTCAGAACAAACTGGATACCCCGTCAGGCTGCGCAGAAGATCTACGTGGAGCTACGCTTCACCCTGCGGGACTGCAACAGCATCCCATGGGTCTCTGGCACCTGTAAGGAGACTTTTAACCTCCTCTATTTGGAGACAGATGAGCCACATGGCGCCAATGCTCATTTTCATCCCAACGACTATGCTAAAATTGATACCATCGCCGCAGATGAGAGTTTCACACAGACAGACCTGGGCGATCGCGTTTTGAGGTTGAATACTGAAGTTAGGGAAGTGACGATAGCTCGTAAGGGTTTCTACTTGGCCTTTCAGGATGTGGGCGCATGCATTGCCTTGGTGTCCGTAAGAGTTTATTACAAAAAGTGCCCATCTACCCTGAGAAACCTTGCAGCCTTCCCTGACACTGTACCGAGGGTGGATTCATCTTCATTGGTGGAGGTCAGAGGCGCGTGTGTTGAGAACGCAGAGGAACGTGACACACCCAAGCTGTACTGTGGAGCTGATGGTGATTGGCTTGTGCCGCTGGGCCGTTGTGTCTGCAGCATAGGCTATGAGGAGAGTGACGGTCTTTGCCTTGGTGAGTCGAACATTAAATACTGCTTCATTTTATTTCTCAAAATAAAATAAAATGAATTAAAAAAAATAAATAAATAAAATGTTTTAAATACAAAATATAATAAAATAAAATAAAATTTTAAATATAATAAAATAAATGAAATATAATGCATAATATATATATATATATATATATATATATATATATATATATATATATATATATATATATATATATATATATATATATATATATATATAATAAAAAACAAAAATAATTAAATTAAATTAAACACAAAATATATTATAATAAAATAAAATACAAAATATAATACATAAAATAAAATACAAAATATAATAAAATAAAAATAAATTATAAAATAAAATAAAATATTAAAATAAAATGATTTTGTTTATTTTTTGACCCATTTGTTATGTTCACAAGTCTGGGGCAGATAAGATTTTAAAATATGTCAAAATAAAATAGATGCATATGCTCACAAAGGCTGCATTTATTTGACCAAAAACTAAAGACATCATTTTTGTAGCTTCTTACTATGTACCATCTTGCTGTTTTGATGTATTTTAATATTCAATTTAAAAATGTAAAGGAAATTATAAATAATGCTTATAAAGCATTATCTTAATATTAAAATAAAAAAGCTTAATAGTTTGTTGGTAACACTTTATTTTGAGGGTCCATTTAAGCATCAATAGACTGTCTGTTTAATAGCTGTTAATATTCTCATTCAACAGACATTTAACTGACTTTAAGAAACTTTGCAAGTACATGTCAACTTACACTAACCCTAACCCCAACCCTAATCACAACCTATGAGAATTAGTTGACATGTAGATGCAGTGTAACTTAAATTCAAAAAACAAACCATCAAAATGAAGTTTTACTGTTTAGTTGGCAATACAAAGTTCTGAAACAGGCTGCATTTTTTTTTAAGATTTTAACATTATGCATGACAGTTTTATAATATTTTATTAATTTGATTCATTCACATAAATCTGTTATGCATCTGTTGATTTTAATTTTTAAAAGCTGTCGCCAGTCAGAAAACTAAAGTGTACTTTGCAAAATGCACTGTGGACAGATCCTTTCAGTGCAGCCCTTGTTTATCATAAAGGGACAGATTAATTTTGACATGTTGTGCCACTCGTGTGCAGTACGGATGTGGTGTAAATCCAGGTTGTCAGTGGATACCAAGCTTGTCACATTATTATAGAACTCACCTGATGTGTGGTCAGAGGTGCGAAAAACTGCTTGCAACAGCTTTTAAAGTGGCTCAGAATGAATTACAATGTGTTACTTTCATTTCAGTTTTCAGTTCAGTGTCATGTCCCACTTTTTCACTTTTTATACTGCCTTGCGATTTATTTGTAAAAAAAAGAATAGCACATTTTAAATAAGTATGTATATATATATATATATATATATATACAGTATATATATATATATATATATATATATATATATATATATATATATATATGTGTGTATGTAACAGAAATTAGCTCATTTTATGAATATTAATAATGAACAATAACGGTTTATTCTTACTTATTAATATTCCGGCTTAAGCTTCAGTCAGTTTGGTCAAACAAACATATGATTGTATATGATCATGCTCGCGCGACCGAGCGGATTCCCAGATTATGAATATAAATTATCAACAATAACGAATTATTATTAATCATTAATATTCCGGATCAATTTATTGTTAACTTGACCAAACAAACACAAGCAGAGCCGCCGCTCTTCCGAGCGGACACGGTAATGATCTATTCATTTAGAAAAAGGGAATTTAATTGCTACTTCTTGCGAAGTAGATTAATCATTCAAAAGTTTTAAATAACTTATAAAAGCTAGGCAGGGGAATCTGTATTTCAGTGACATTTTCTCGTGAGGCAAACTATGCAATTCACTTTATTATAATGGAATTTATTGACTAGTCGGACATAACGAACAAACAAACGCACAAACATACATTAAACACAGAACAAAGGTAAACCACGTGGAGATATCGGGTCTATACGGGATTATAAAACATGTACGAACAGAGAGAGATAGAAAAGCGTGCAGATATAGATTTCAGATAAAAGAGTGACAAAACTTTCAGCTCCACACGCACCATTAAGGACCACCAAGATTATAAAAAACACCTTTTTTTGATAAAAGGGGCACAGCTTAATCGCATAACTAAAAGTACCTGGACTTAATGTCTGGGGTCTCTCTTTATGCTTCCGTCCTGAGTCGTAAAACCCATGCGAAATACTCAAATCAAATAGTAAATATCAAATACTAAAATCAACAAGTAATTTTATCTTTGGACTGTACGCTACACACACACACACACACACACATATATATATATATATATATCATTCATTTTCTTTTCAGCTTAGTCCCTTTATTAATCTGGGGTCGCCACAGCAGAATGAACCACCAACTAATCCAGCACATTTTAGGCAGCGGGTGCCCTTCCAGCTGCAACCCATCTCTGGGAAACATCCACATACACTCACTCACACTTATACACTAAGGACGATTTAGCTTACCCAATTCACCTGTACCACATGTCTTTGGACTGTGGGGAAAACCAGAGCACCTGGAGGAAACCCACGCGAACGCAGGGAGAACATGCAAACTTCACACAGAAACGGCAACTGACCCAGCCGAGGTTCGAACCAGCGATCTTTCTACTGTGCCACTTTGTCGCCGCATATATAAGCAAAATCACACAAGTAGCAGGGTTTTGTGGCTCTACATCGGCACTGGTGATAACGATATACAGCCCCATTGCACTGCTACAAGCAGGATATTGCTTTCATACAACAGTTCGACGGCATAATCATACATATAAAAGCATGAGAAGCTACTTTCTTAGCTGACGTCAGAACAGCAGAAACCATTGCTAAGTAACCAATGTCACTTTAGAGCTAGTATTTGAATGATTCTGTAGCATAATATCAAAAGTGATGACAAAGCAGGTGATTTGGCGCAAATTTTAATATTATAAGACTGAAGGCATAAAATGACCTTTAAACCCTTTATTTATCAAGCATAGATTGCTAGTAACTTCTAGTAACAGAGACATTTCATTGTTTTTATTTCTCTATGCTTGTCTGTATCCACTGGGCACTGTTTAATTCAGAGCAGACTATGTGAGCCAGGGGGCAGATATTTTATTTATTTATTTATTTTGTTGAAAGTTACACTGCCTGTATTTTCGCCAGCTTCATGTTTGCTTGGAAAAGGCAACCCGGAGTGGAGGTACAGCAAAGTGATTACAGAATGATTTGAGCCGGGAGGAAAAATTACTGTCACTCCATTCCGTTCGCATATTGTATTCCAGACGCAAAGTTGCTTGCCAAAGCTCAAAGCTTGATACTTTACTTTCTTTGTTTTTGGAGCTGTGCATTTTAGTGGAGCACAAGCATATGCACTTCCAGGCCAGAATTTTGTGATCATTTGATATCAGCTCCTGTGTAGTTGTATAAAAGCAATATCAAAGTAAAATTCAACAGCACTTGCTGGTAGGATATTGCTTAAATATATCGTTAACAAGGTATAAAATTACACATATTGAAGATTATTGTCATACATCCCACCTTAGCTCTGTTTTTTGATTGACTGAGAAAAGCCCCGTTCCTGACAGCAGAAGAAAGGAGAAGAGAGAGTTCTGCTGTGATCCAGTGATGCAAGTAGATCTCCTGTATGGAAATGGAAGGGACAGTCGAGATAGAGACATCAGTGAGTGACCCGGTTCACGCTGCGCCAGCCTGTGGGGAGGTTCTCTGCACATGTGAGAGAATAGGAGATGGCAACGGGAGTCAAAGGCATCATTACATGCCTCTCATTACCATACAGAAACTGAGCATTTCAACCATTCTTCAACAGCTTTAAAGATTCTGTAGTGTGAGGCGTACTTGCTTTCAGTCTCTTTCCCAGGCTTTGTTCGATGCAGCAGACGAAGTATTACTCTTATGATAAAATGCTGTCTGCGATATGATTCAGGCTTTAGTGAGTACATCAAGAGTAAAGCTCTGCTGTCACAAGGCAGTTCAGTACATCGCTACTACCTGACTTCCCCCCGTTCCCTGCCACCTCTGTCTCTTTCCTCTTTTTGCACATTATCTAAGCAGATCACTCTTCAGATTAAGGCTGCAATCGCACTGGCACCTGTCAAAGCCCTAATCAAATCCCCACCGTCAGGGCGGCTCCCGCTGCAAAGTGAATCCATAATCAGCTCTCCCCTGCCCGTCAGAGACCGGTTACTCAGCGTGGTGTTTGCGTGTGTTTCAGGGACCCAAGTAGAGGAATTGAGAAAGATGAATTCTCATACTTTGGGATTATGTATCAAATTTAATGAAAAACTCCCTTGACTCTTGGTGGAGTTTGCTCGTTGAGGATGTCATTCCTAGTTTGGCATTGTCACATAGTAATACAGTAGTAGTAATACAATTTAGTAATAATAATACTGTAATAGTAATACAGTTTTCTTGTCTACTCTAGTCCAGTCTAAAGCTTTGGTCACTACAGAGAGGCTTTCAGTTTAAATACTTTTAAACATTGAGACACCGTATGCTGAGACAGACCTCCCCTGTTCAGCACTGAACTGGCAAGCAATTCCAGCTGCAGTGTTGAACTGAACTGTTTAGATCGTCTGTATTTTTCGTCTTGATAGAAATTTCTTCTTCATAGGATTTGTTTTTAAATGCATATGCATAACTGAGTAGGATAAATTCTTTATCCGATGGGAAAAAAATGCATAAACTACGTTGGAATGATGTTTAGTATGAACATCAAAAAGCTGTGTAATTTTGTTATAGCAAGATCGGGTGATAAAAATGGTTGCAGCGAGACAGCAGACAGACCGGCAGATTGGCCACATTGTAAAACATCTGAAAAGTTGTTTTGGTCCTTCTAAAATGTCTTAACAATCTTAACTGTCTTCAAAGTGGTTTGGTATTATTACCTCCCAGAACTCTCTTCAGCGGCTACACTCACAAAGGGTGATTTCACATCTCCAAAAGCCACAGCTCTTCCATTGTATTTTGTTATTGTCATTTGATTCACAAATAA